AAAAAAAAAAAAAAAGCCACTTGGTAATTCTGACTTTTATTGAAAACAGTAAACTGATGAAAGATAAGATTTTAATAATTAAAGATGCTTTTTGTTATCTCAGTTCTCAGGGAAAAAAATACACACAATGCCATTTGCAGAATTAGAAGTATGACTCTCTAGAGGGAAGATGCAATCAGCTGGCAGGAAATAAAAGTCCATGTTTGTAATACCCTCAAGGACAATCACTTAATAACCCACAATGAATCATACAGGAAGCGGATCTCAGGGTCAGCATAACTTGTCTCCAGTTATTTTTTAAAAAATAATACACACCTAAATAAGTTACTCTTAAGCAAAACAGTAAAAGAAGGTTTCAAATACCTTCTAAATAAATGACCTTATGTCTGTGAGCTTTCTTTTATAGTACTGAGAAGGAAAGCAGTATTTGTTGGGTACTTGGCTGCTATTTTTAAAGCTGAAGAGGAGCAGGATGCTAGTCATGCCGTCAGGTGTACAGATGACAGGAGGGAGCTTGTGTGGCCTCTCTTGGCCTCAGTTTCCTCATCTTTCAAACAGTCCCTGACAGCCTTTGAGTTTTAAAAGTCTATTAATTGTAAATATTTGGGAGAGTTTAAAAAATGTTAAAAGTAAAGCCCAAATAATGAGCAGAAAACATAGGCAGATGTCTTTAATTTTGTGAGATTTGTAATGCATTTTTGAGACAGAGAAAGTGTATACAACACAGAAACATCACCAAGGGATGACAGAAAGAAGACAAGTAAACTGTTTTTGAGAAGAGCATAAAGGTGAGGGTGAGTGGAGATCAAGAGGTAAAGAACCTGAGTGGGAATCTGGTGGGCACTAGAGGGCTATATGGGACCACAGAGACTTTTCTTCCTACACCTGGCCCCCAGTTTGCTGTGAAGCTGTAAACTGCTCCAACGAGTTTCCTTAAAATATGTAAGACCATGTGCTAGCTATAGGTGCAACTGTTGTCTCTGCTACTAGATGCCAGACACGGTGCAGGCAGTTCACATGCAGCAGCATTTCACGTAATTCTCACAAGATCATGAGGCCTGGGTGATCATCTTCACCTCACAGATGAGGGTGGGGTGGCACAGACGTAAGCCTGTCAAGTCTACTTGACTCCAAAGCCTGGCTCTCCACCCTATTGCCTCTCTGGGCTGAGGATAAAACTGTTCTCATGGGGCCGTCTCATGCCATTGCTCAGGATCCCTCTAGTTTTCTGTTTTAAACTCAAACCAGGAGGCTTTCTCTCCCACTACAGAGAGCCCAGGGGTCCCACTTAATTTAGTAGGCACAACCTTCCCACAGTGACTACAAATTCTTTTGGTACTGCAGTGTCTTGCTGGGGTGAAAGAAGTAAAGAACCAAAGGCACGGGAAGACAGTCTAAACAGAATTGGGGCTCTGGAATACTATGACAGACATGAAGGGGGTGCCTAGCACTTAAGGAGGATTTGTGCACTTATTTGAAAATGACAGCAATTTAAATCACAGGATAATTATTCTTCACGCTACACTTAAAGAACGCATTACTTTAAACATCTCAGAAAATATCTGCATCCTTCCTGGATGACCTAATCACAGTGGTTTAGGAAGAAGAGAGGATGCTGGTCTTTCAGTTTAGACACAAGTCAACCTGGTCTGGCCAAACAGTACCCCTTGGTGTCGCTGTTGAGGCCAGATTACTAGGTGGGATGGGTAAGGGGGTCAGATTCAGTTGGAGCTCACACTGCAGCTCCTAGTCAGCCAGCTGTCTGCCCGCTGCTTGCTAACAGATCCACCCTCAGCCATCTGTGGCTTCTTTTGTGGGAAAGGTAGCGTTCTTAGAATTTGGTTTATTTTTAAATGCTGATAACTTCAAACTATTTTTATTTAAAAATAACTATACCCCAAACTAAAGGTGAGGACACAGTGAGGCCCAAAGATGAAGCTGAATATCCATTAATAAAAGAAACAAAACAATTATTTGAAAGGCTGATTTTCTCTCACAAGCTTTGAAGAAATTCTGAGGGAGGTTGTCCACACTTGGCATGTTTAAGTACTTCGTCACTGGTAACCACGTAATTATTGAAATAGTTTTAAGAATGGGCTAATTTAAATTGCACTTAGGTATATATTTCCCACATTAAAAAATGACATCCATACCAGAGACAAAAACTTATTTAAATGTTTAGATGCCAGCAAAGGAAACAATGACAGAGTAACTTCACAACATTTTTCCTTTTAAAGAAAGGTAATTACATTTCTTTTTAAAATATTTACATTAAAACAAATCAAAACTTTGCAGAGACACCACATTTCATTTTTACTTCCATCCCATGCCTCTCTTAGGTTTCTGAGTTATGTGTCCTATCATTTACAGCCCTAAATTGCATTTTCAATTGGAACAAACCAAATGTAGTAGACAGAAGGAAAATAATCAAGTATTAAATTGGAATGTGTGTCTCATTTCTGAAGGATATAATTTTTTATAATTTTTAATAATAGTAGAGAAGGCACTGTCTTCAACACATTTGTAGAGAATGTATTCCCTTCTCTATACATTCTCAGTAAGAATAAGGTCTGCTTATGTTCCCCATTTATTTTATTGACATTATAGATGGCAATCATTATGAAAATCATACTCTGCCCTTTTCTAGCCTTCCTACATTGACAGATACAAGAGGGAAATAACCCATGATATCACAGGGGAGCAAAATCCTCCTACTCCCTCAATTTAAACAGATGTTCCCCTTCAGTCACAGACTCCCTAACTTCAAAGTCCACAGTTTTGTTTTGGTTTTTATTCTGGTCCAGAAATGATGCGGCAGAGTCAGGAAATGACCCTTCACTCTGCAAAGTGACTTGGAAACAGAGACCTAGCTCAGTCCTCACACACTTGATGGGAAATGGACTCCTGGTAAGGAGGAACTATGAGTCCTCTCTTCCAGCCCAGCAGTCCCTCCATGAGTTTCTGCCTTCCTGGTTCCCTATTATAATCAGATGTCGTTGCCTAGGTTGACAGCATGGATGGTAAAAAGGCATCCCCTCATATGTCAAATTCAACTGATTAGTAGGATCTGCCTGGAAATCTGACATATGTAATATGCTTGTTTACCATAACTTAGCCATTATCAACAAGAAACTTTTGAGATAACACAACACAACAGACACTTATTAACTCATCTATTCACTCAGCTATTTTAAAAATCAGTAACAGGAAATGTTTTATCAAAAACAAACTCGATTATGTGCTATTTGTTGCTATTCACAAACTAGTAAGATATTTGGAAAACATATGTAGTAGTGAATATGCTACACAGGGAAGTTTTTTTTTTTTAACTCTGAAAAAAGAATATTTATGAATCAATACTTACAGGATCCCCTCCAGAGGCAAATGAAATAGACTGCATGTGGTGATTGGCAATAATCTGGAAGAGATAAACAAATTAAATATATAAAATGCCAAGATGAATTACTTCTCATTCACACAATCAAAGGGTAAAGGGCATGTATTTATTTATTTGTGCCTTCTCAGCACCTTTTAGGAAACCACACCACCCACATTCCATAATAATGTCATTGAGACCAGGAGGTTAAGGTGGGTTTCACTCACTAAGTTGCAGCTCACTGTCCTCAGTGATGTATATTATCATTAATACCCAATTAGACACTGTATAGGGGAAAGAGAAAGAAGTATGAAACTAGCAAAAATAGTATAAGGCTTTTTGGAAAACCTCACTCAATACTATATATAAGACCTGAACTAATATAGATCACCTTTATGAATGAGAACAGAAAGTGTAGAGACACCAATAATTTCCATACAATTCTGATTAAAATTCCAACAATATCATTCACTTTGCATGCTGCTTCTAAAATTCACATGGGCAAATAAATGTGCAAAAAAAAAAGCTAAGGCAATTTTTTAAAAATGAGATTTTTCTTATCAGGTGGTAAGACAAAGACATATTCAAGCTGTTTCTAAAATTTGTATTGAAGAATAAATGGAGAAGCACTAAGGCAATTTTTAAAGAATAGAGACAGTGTTTCCTTATCAGCAGGACATAATTATAAAACTATAGAAATTCATAGAACAAAAGGCTAAAAACAGACTCATATTCATAGACTTTCAGCCTGTGATAAATGTGGTACCACAGCAGACAAAAGAAGTGAGTGGAGCTAGCTGAATTAGCTCTCTTTCTAGAACCGTCTTTCTCTTTCAAAAATATTGGGAGACAGATATTTCTCTCTCAATAGAGAGAGAAAAATACACCAAAGAATACCTTAAATTTGATTACACAAAAACCCATTTTAAGATTTGCGTATGAGAAAGCGTCCCCTGAAACAGGGACACATAACAGGCTGGAGAATATATTTGCAACATCTAAAACAAAGTATTCCCATAGTTCCCCCCAGTGAGAAAAAAACAAACAAATAAGATCAGTGAACTTTCAGAAGTAATAAAATATTTGATAAATATTGAAAGATAATCTCCCGGAAATCAAGTCTATGGGGGAAAAAAAAAAACAGGATACCATAATAAAATGGTTAACTTTGTTAAAGTTCAACAAAATTGTACGTGGGAAAGGTGTGGATATTTTCAAAATGGTTAGAGCTTACATGTGTACAACAACTTTGGCGGTCAATTGGATAGTATTTATTAAAACCCATTATCCCACCTTTCACTTCCAGATATTTACAGTAGAGAAACACTGTTATGTGTGGATGTTCTCTGTCTGATAGCTTGTAAAATCAGAAACTCAGAAATTTGTTCAGTTAGGTCTCGAGTATAGCTATACAAATATTAGAGGGTTGGTTGGCATGTTTTCTGAGTTGAACACAGTTGTGAGACCAAAAGAACCACAATAGAATTTCCCAGAGACATCAAGATCCGTGCAAAATCGAACAAAAGGACTTAAAGGTCGCACACCAGATCCATAGTGTCAAGTTGCCTCCTATGAAAAGAAATGGGACTCGGTGTTTCATCCTAAATTTTTAATAAAAGAAGTCAGACAATACAGTCACTTGCGAATTTAACTCTCTTAAACGAGAAAAACTGAGCAGATCTGTTCTTAACACGCTGATGTGGTGTTGAGACTGTTGTATATACAACTTGGAGGTGGGGGTTTGTAACTCTTTAGCGTGTTGACAGTAAGTAGTTAAAACCGAAGAGATCTGCGCTCTTCCAGGGTGGGAGGAGGAGAAGCAGGATTGGGCGGAGGGAGAGGTGGGGGGACTGGAAAGCGGCTGGGGAAGAGGGGTCGGGAGGGAAACCCCCAAGTAGAGCCTTTTCAAGCGCTCAGCATCACCAACAGCAGAGCCCTTAAGTGAGGCGGAGACTCAGCGCTGTTGTTGCACTTACAGTGCACGAGTTTGAACGAGCAGAACCAAGACCCCGAAGGCGGGGACCACCGCGGGCAGCGCGCCAAGAGGGGGCGGTGTCTGAGGGTCACACGTACGCACGAGGTTACGCAAGCCTGGGGCGTTTGCGCAAGCGCACAACCTCACGGCCGCGTAGCTCCGATCTGACTGAAACGCTTTGCGAGAGCTCTAGCGCCTGGCACAATGTCGGAAATGAACGTGCTTTGCGAGCTGTATGAAGAGAGCAATGACCTGCAGATGGATGTGATGCCTGGGGACTGTGACTTTCCGCAGATGGAGGTAGGCGGCGGGAGCCGGGAGCCGTCCCCGAGCCCCTCCCGCAGCGGGGCCCCGCCACAGATCGAGGAGGAAGGCCCCATGGAGGAGGAGGCGGCCCAGCCAATGGCGGAGCCAGAGGGGGGACGAGGCCTTGCGAATCGGCCCAGCCCGGGGGAGCAGGCTGGCCAGATCGCGGGCCCCGACTTCGAGAGCGAGGATGAGGGAGAAGAATTTGATGACTGGGAGGACGACTACGACTATCCGGAAGAGGAGCCGCTGAGTGGTGCGGGCTACCGGGTGTCGGCGGCCCTCGAAGAGGCCAACAAGATGTTTCTGAGAACATCCAGAGCGAGAGAGGCAGCTCTGGATGGCGGGTTTCAGATGCATTATGAGAAGACCCCATTTGATCAGTTAGCTTTCATTGAAGAGCTTTTCTCACTCATGGTTGTCAACCGTCTGACCGAAGAACTCGGCTGCGATGAGATCATTGACAGAGAGTAGTTACGTTGCTGTTAAAAGAGGAGGAAACAACTTGAGACAACCAACATTCCACTGTCTCTTGGATTCATTCCAAATAGTTCCGTGCCAATGCAAAACTTGATCGTCAAAAAAAAAATTTTTTTGTTGTTTTGGTTTGCAGAATGGAATAGGGCAGTGACTGCACTGTTGTTAAAAAAAAAAGAAGAAGAAAGAAAGAAAGAAGAAGAAGAAGAAGAAGAAGAAGAAAATTGTTGAAGGAAAGGATTTTAGGACTTTTCAAGAATGTCCTGAAACACCTATGGCTTTGACTTTGTTATTGATCCAGATTATTTTTTCCTTGCAATGGGGAAAAAAATCTTTCATGTTTCACTGTAAGAGGTCTTGTTACAAGAATAAGCCACGATCAAGGCGAGCCCACTGATACTAACTGCATAAGGAAAAATAACATATCCAACTTCAGACATGAGCTATCTCTGCAGTATTTGGACTGAAAGCCTATGAGAAAACTGAAGATTCCACTGTGATACTTCCAAGTGATATTTATCAAAGGCTAAATTTTGAGTGTAAGATAAACTGAATATTCTTCAGTATCCCAAAAGAATAAGCAAGCCCAAAAAGTAATATGATCTTGTGTGTTTTATCTTAAAATGTGTTTCTAAGAGCATCTAAAATTTCATGTGTACTTGTATCCTAATCAATTATAAAGCTACTACATTTATAATCTGTATTTTAAGAAATTTCATTGTCTTGACCCAAAAAGTCAAAAATTAAGATGGTCCTAATAGAGTTTCAGATTTATGTGAAAGTACAAAGAAAACCGACTGTTCCTCCCATAGTAGAGAAATTTTGTTTTACTTGCTCTCTGTTTTTCATTTAACTTTACAGGCAAAGACTGGTTGAACTTCATATGGTAAGAACTGTTAAGTAAAAATTGTCAAGTAAAAGGAAAGCCCTATTTCCGAAAAAGACTTTATGAACAATTACGCTGTCAACCTTGAAAAGTTTAAAAGCTCCCCAGAAATCCACCTCAGTGTCTGGTCTCCCTGTCTCCTCCTCTGATTAAGCTTGTTATTGGTTATGCACCAGCATTCAAGATAATAAAATTTCTTGTTCTGTGTATTTTGTTTGTTTGGCTAATAATAATGCATACATATGTCCTCTACTACTTTTTAATTATATAACTGTATTACTGCAACCATTTTGTTATTTAGCCACTATAAGGGAAGTGCCCAAACAGCAAATAATTCAATTTACAGGTGAACTTGGGGAAATTAATCTTAATTCCTATAAGAGAATTGGCAGTTTAAGGAAACCTGCCCTATCAATGAGCATGTTCCTATGGTTACTCATTAAGATGCTGTCAGAAAAGTGCCCGGTGTATCAGTAGGTCTTAAAATTAGTAAGATATTCCTGCTCCATTATGGCAGTAAAGAATACTACCAATGCAACAGGACAACTCAGTGGCTTGTTTATGTTATAGTCATCTATTTTAAGGAGGGGGGTTCTTTTCAGCAAAATAAGGGATTGACAAGGATGATCATTATAGTTTGGCGGGCAAGAAGAAAGGATGGGGGAAAGACTAGGTAAAATGTTGGCACTTGAACACCTCAATCCTAATGTCTCCTATGCCTCCTTTCACTGCTTTTTCAAACAGGTTGCTGCTGCGGTCATAAAGGTATGGATAGGTAATTAACTGCTTGGCTGAATTAACAGTAATATGGGAGGGAGGGGTTTGGGAAGGGGAAGGATACTAATATACAATGAATTGATCAGTTACATTTACCTCTAAAGATGCTAGGCTCAGAAAAAAAAAACAGGTCTATAAAGTGGTAGGTGTTACTCCATTTCTCTTTGAGTAAGAAGGGGGGAAAACCACTCCTTCCAGAAAAGTGAATCCTCTCATGTTTGTTGGGAGACAACTGAAAGTCATTTACTGAAGATAGAAAATGGTAATATTTAACATCCCTTTCAGGGTTATAAAAACACTTGTATTTCTTTTAAATGTTAAAAAGACATCAATGTCTCCATTACTAACTTTCACCGATAGCCTCAGGTCATGAACTTAAACAAGGTTAATACATTGTGAGAATTAAATGAAGATGTACCTGTATGTCTCTAGACAGATAAAGAAAGGAATTCTGGAGAAAGTCTGATCCTGATTTTGTGATGGGTGAGAATGGGGAGTGGGAAAAGGGAATTTAAAGGCACACATTTTGTGTGTGCAAACAGGACACACCTATTTGATTCATGTTTATAATTTTAAATTCTTACATAAACACTACCTCATAATCCAGAAAAAGCAGCAAAACTACCAGATAAAAGATTGGGCAACCCCAGAGCTCCAGTGAGAAGGGAGAAAGTATTTGATTCACCTTTACATGAAGAAGGTATGTTTTTCGCCATAGCCACCAGTGTAGTCTCCCCAAATGTAAACCAAGTGACCAGTTATTGTACTTGTACCACCATTTTTTCTTGTATGTGGATAGTTTGAATCATTACTTGCCTGCCCTCTAGCTAGTTAAACTTGTCTTTCCCTGTGGAGATTTAAGAAAGCCTCCATCTGCCAGGTTTACCTTCATTACCACTATTACCCTTCTCAGTTTTATTTGCTATAAAGTTGGTGGTAGGACTATAGAAACAAACTGAGATAAACATTTTAGCTTAAGCCTCTAAAAGACTGTATTAAAAGAATGTCAAGAGGCCCTCCCTGGTGGCGCAGCGGGTTAAAGCACAGCACTAAGAAGCAAAAGCCACCTTAGCATGAGTACGATCCCTGCCTGCCCCAGAGGTGACCACATGGCGTGGCAGACCTCTCCTGACCCGCCTGCTGTTCCCCTCAGCAGTGTACTTCGTGGATCTGCCTGTTCTGCTCCCTACTCTGTCTCTGGTGAAGCCTCTCGCCACCACTCAGCCTCTGGCTTGTACCCCAGTTCTGTACGCACAAATAAATAAACCTTAAAAAAAAAAAAGATCTGTTTGAATTTTTTAAATGAATATACCAAAGCCCGTATGATTTTCCAAAATATATTTTCCTATATCTGAATATAGTGAGTTTTAAAAGTTGTAATCATTATGTGTTTGATATAATTTTATTTTCTGCCTCTGAGGTTCTCTGATATTTCCTGGAGGTGAATGGTTACATTCTTGATGTTCTCTGTGATTGAAGACAAATGGGAACCATCTGACCCATAAATGTCCTTTGATCTAGGAATGTGTCTATAAACTTGAGTCTGTTTTGTATTTTCAGTCTAAAGTATGGTTTAGAGGTTAAGATAGTGAGAAGGCATTATTTTTTTTATATTTGTCTTAGAAATTCAAAGTGGAACTTAATTTAAAGGAATTGAATTAAAAAGTCCTTTTGTCATGCTATATCCATAAGTCAGTGCTTATTGCTTTCATCCCTTGGACCTATTAGTTGCCCTTTTGATGGGAATATAAAGTTTTTTGAATTGAAGTATCCAGATGCACAATTTTTCTTGCTTGTGCACCTCATCCTTTATTTCCCCCAGGTTTTGGCCCCACTCTAGTAATGGGCCAAACACAATCACATTCCCTGCCACTGATACAGAAAAATTTTTAGTCTCTCTCAAATGTGGCTCACTGATACAACTACAAAAACAGAAGTCACTCATGCCTACTGTTTAAAATTATAGGTGGCAACAGCACCTGTAGTTAAAGTGGTCTGAAAAAGGTTGTGAAGGTAAAGAAGTGCTGAGAATAAACTAATAAACTAGGACCCCTAGCATACATACCACAACTTGATTCTTACTGAGTTCCCTTGCATTTCAGTCACCCCTTGCTGGCTCTAATTTTGTCTACTCCTCTTCCCCTATAAAACTTTGTCATGATTCCAAGGCCCCTATACTCAATGATATCTTATAACTAAAAACATCACACATCCTTGAGAGTGAAATGAGAGTGAAAACCAAAAGTAAATTTGACATCTACTGATGTGTTGAAGGCGCACCATCTGAAAGACTGAATGACTGTTGCACCAAGCTATGTGTACCTTCCACATAACAGACCCAGAGTTTCAGCTGTCCTTATACCAATGATATCACCTCTTGGAGAACCATCAGGACACGACTAGACAGGAATCTATTTTGAATGGTTTCATATTGTGTTCCTCTATAGTGTCTTATACTACTGTGTAAATAATACATTGTATTCTGCTTTTAAACTTAGAAAATAAGGCATCTCTCAAAACTGCAAGTGAAATTTTTGGCAATAAATAGAAGTCAAAATGTATATGAGTACACTGACATGTAACTAAAATGTTATAATATGCTTTCACTATTAAGTAGTGAGTTTATGGAAAGGTCAGCGAGAAGAAATGATTAAGGAAATAGTGATATTAGGTACCATGTGCAGGGCACATTAGTAATAATTCACAATTTTATATACTCCTTTAATAGTCCCATGAGATGTATACTATCACTAAATCCATCTCTTAAGAAATGCTAGAAATAAGTACTATAATTCTCATTTCATTGAGGGGGGAACTGATGCTGAGAGAAAAATAACCTGCATATTAGTGGCAAAGCCAGGGTTTCAACCACTTTTTGACCTCAGACCTTCTTAGTGTTTTGTCACTGCCAAGTACATATTAAAATTTCCATGAGTCCTTGAGCCATAGCATTCCATATAGCAGAACCTTAGGTTCACAAACTTCAAATCACAACATCTTAAACAGAAAAATTAAAGACTCTAACACACACAAGGAACTGACATAAGGATTTCATTTTAAAGATTCTAAAGGACAATTGAAAAACAGTGCCTCAGTTTAAGGTACACATTTAGCTCAATGCTTCTGCATCTTTAATATTTGCTTTAGCAATATTGTTTTTGACAAATAAGGTTCACCATGGAAATTCAGATATACCACAATATCACAAGTCATCAAAGAGAAAAAAAATGTGTTTGTACAATATCATCTTATAAAACCTTTCAACCTCAAGGTTTGAAAGAAAATGTTTGCTACTTAAATTTCAGATAGCTAAAAAACATTAACCCTAACATCACCCTTCCCCTTTGTCCTTAATTTGCATTCCCTAGTCCAACATGCTATCTGGTTCTGGTAATAAAATTGCTTTCCATTTGGGGAGGGTAAAAGGAGAGTAGTCAATGACTGACTCAAGGATTTGAGTTGCCAAATGGTATTTATTATGTTCTTTGCACCTTAGTTATTATCCAAAACCAATTAGGTAGGAGCAAAAATGACCCAATTCTATAGCCCAGTGATCAAGTGATAGGCTCTTGTTACATTTACTGTTATGCATGAATTCTCAGCAGAATTTTTCTCTTTTATTAAATCATAGGGGTAATTTGTCTGAAATGTTATTTTCCGTATTATGTACAGGAAACTGTAGAAAAAATAGAGAACATGTCAAACTATAAATGACATTTGTGATCTTACCTGTTGGTTGTCAAGATTCATCAATGTGAGGCTGCATGTTGAGATGATCAGTTTTATATTCATTCCCGAAAACTGCAGATTACTTTTGCCAAGAACAGTTGATTGGAACTTAACTGGAGGCTTTAAAAATAACAAAACAACATTTGAATTTATGGTTTTTGTTACAGAATGAATGTGTATGCTTTTTAAGTGGGCCACTGCCCATATTTTCCTCTCTGTGTTACTTTACATAAATCAAATAAGATGGAATTATTTTTAATAAAATGTTCTTAATTGGAATGCAGCAAGTTCTTTAGTACACAGGAAAATCTGAGTCCTTCAAACTTTTCTCATACAGTCCTTTCTCCCTACATGTTGAGAATAGGCACCTGCTTTATAGAAAAGGAATTCCTTTAAAATATATATATATATATATATAAGGGACAATATATATATATACAGAACTGGGATTCAGGTCAAAAGTGCAGTGTCAGTGAGAGGATTCTCCAGAGACATAGTGGGGAGCAGAAGAGGCAGACTGACAAAGTACACTGCTGCTGAGGGGAGCAATTGGCAAGACAAGCCACACTATATGGGTGACCTCCCCTGGGTCTGGGATAGAACTCACTGAAAAGGCTGCAACCAGCTTCATAGTGCTGTACTTTAACCCGCTGTGCCACCAGGGAGGACCCAAAAAGGAATTCCAATGAGGGTTTGGACTAAAACTCTCAAGTTCTTTGAACACCTCAGGCCATCTTTTTTAAGGTTATTATCTAGATTTATCTTGACAAATTCAGAAAATATGAAAAAGACAATATAACAAAAATTATGAGACATAATACAAAAAAAGAAACAGTGCTAAGAAGGTTCTTTATAGTTATAAAGGCTTACATTATAAAAGAAGGATGATCACAAATCAACAGTATAACTTTACAAATTATAACAACTTTAAAACTGTAGCACATGCTAACCCCAAAAGCTAGCAGATGAAGGAAAAAGAAAGATTAAAACAGGGATAAATGGTACAGAGACCAGAGAAACTCAACGATCTAAAGACTGGTTCTTTTTTAAAATAATAATAATAATAAATAAATAAACAATAAAATTGGCAAACCTCTAGCTAGCTAGAACAAGAAAAAAGAGAGAAGACTCAGATTACAAATGAAAGTAAGGACATTATTCAACAGAAATGGAAAGAATTTATAACTGTACTATGGACAAATGTAGATCAACAAGTTGGATTCCTCTAAATGAAATGACAAGTTCCTAGAAACAAAACCTTCCAACATTAAATCATAAAGAAATAGAAAATGTGCGTGAAACAATAACTAGTTAAAATTAAAAAAAAGAAACAAAGCTACAAAATAAAGTGTTGTGTTGATAAGAATGTAGAAAAATTGAAAAGCTTGTACATGTGCACTCTTGATAGGGATGCAAAATGGTACAACCACTGTGGAAAATAGTACTGTAGCTCCTCAAAAAAGTTACAAATAGGGTTATAATGTGATCCAGCAATTTCGCTTCTTGAATTTCACAAAGATTTTGAAGCAGGAACTCAAACAGATATTTGCACATCCATGATCAATGCTGCATTATTTACAGTTGCTAAAGTTTGGAAGTAACCCAAATGCCCATCAACAGATGAATGGAAAGCAAAGTGGGACATTATTCAGTCTTAAGAAGGACAGAATTCTGATAAATGCTAAGTATGAATGAACCTTGCGGACACTGTGCAAAGTCAAATACACTAATCACAAAAAGACAAATATTGTATGGTTTCATTTATATGACTGAGAGTAGTAAAAATCATAGAAACAAGAAGTTTCTATATTGTCAGGGGATGGAGAGAGGGGAGAAAGCAGAGAGCTATTGTTTAATGAGACAGAGTTTCCATTTTGTGAAGATGAAAAGAATTCTGGAGATGGATGGTTGGCATGGTTGCACAGCAACATGAATGTACTTAATATCACTGCAGTGCTCACTCACAAAGGGTTAGGCTAGTAAATCTTATGTGCATTTAACCACAATTTTTAAAAAAGATTATAAGAAATTTTGAGTGCTCAGAAACACCCTTGGCATATATTAAGTACTTAATACATGTGATCAAAGGAAATTATCTCAAATACTCCTTTTTTTTCTTTACAGGTATATTCTTTGGAACAATAACAGTTTCACTTGTTTGGTTTTCTTTTGTTTTTGTGGCAAGAACTCATTCTGAAATGAGTCTGTTCACTGGAATCAGCCCTCTTTTGAATTCACTCAGTTGAAGCATTCTACTCACAGAGGTGTGAGGAACAGGAGATAGCTGGTGGCTGGGGTTCTGTTAGTGAAACTAGTAATAGGGTGTTCTAACAGAATTCAAAGACATTGATCAGAGTTTTTATACCATGAGGCTCATCTGAGTCATTGGATGACATTGAGCACGGCGCTATGCGAAATGATGAATGACAAGAAGTGAGGCAGAGTGCTATGGAAATAGAGCACTAAGCTGGGTATATGAAAACCTGGCTTGGACAGCTGGTTCTGACCTTGATCTTCCTTGTGATTTAAGGCAAAACTCAGCTCTTTGAGCTGCAGTTTGGTAGCTGGCAAGATGAGATTGTTGGGCTGAGAGGGCTCTAAAAATTCCTTTCCTTTCACATTCTACAATCCTATTCTTTAAAAGCCTCCCCTTTGCACACTTCCCCTTTGTACCTCCCCTTTGCACACTTCTAAGCAACTCAACATTCTGAGATTGATAGTTTAATAGTCATAACATTAACTACCATCCCCACTGAATATTTAAAATATGGCAGGCACTGTTAGACATTTTGTAGATGTCATTTCATTTGATTCTTACATGATTCTATAAAGTGCCATCTTCCCTCATTTTACAGGTGGGCAAACCAAGGATGCAAAAGGTGAAGTCATTTGTCCATGATCATACTGTCAGTAGGTGGCAGAGGCAGGATTCAAATTCAAGTGTATCAAACATCAAAACTTGTACTTCAGCAGGAAAAGTACCAGCACCCATGTTTCCATTTGAAAATAGGCCAAGGAGTTAAAAATGTATAAATGTTAAAATGCAGAATATATACATTATTAAATAGAGAAGGGAGAAGTCACTGTTCTGGTTATCTGGTGCAACAATTTAATTTTCAAGGAACAAGATCAGTCTCCTAGAGATGAGATACCATGTCCCAAGGTGAGTAAAGATTTGCAACCCCCTTTTCTGACTTGAAGCCAGATGCTTTCTCCACTCTGCTTCTCTAAGCCTCAGCATTTCAGACAGTGTCCGGCGAGTCAGAAAATCCTGAGGGACAAGAAAAAGACCTAATACAGCTCTGCTACCATGCCAACCACTAACAGCCATTCTGGACCTGATGCCCTGTGCTAGAATAAACTAGCAACTATTTTTATGTTCTCTATCCTATATTTAGGAAAACAGAAAAGAAGGAAACCACACCAATATTTACCTTTCGTTTTTTAATGGCTCTGGTGGCCCCAGGGACAGCATCACACAGGCGACTTATTGCTTCCCTACAGAACAAAAACCATATAAATTCTTAGTGTTGTGACCAGCAAGCAGCAAATGCGTGATAATGTTAACAAGTATTATGACGAAAATGTACACACAGGACAGGGAGTCTCACATCAGTGACCTTGCCCGCCAGCTGGACAAGAAAAACCACTAAGGTGAATCCTGCAGTTCAAATCCAGTAAACACCGTAATACTGACAGATTGCTGCACAATCAGGAGTCCAAACTATTCACTTCCTACTTGTCTTTTTTCTTTTTTGCCTTGAATTTTCAGGTTAAGTTGTGTGTGTGTGTGTGTGTGTGTGCGTGTGTGTTGTTGTTGTTGTTGTTGTTGTTGGCATTAACCAAAAAGGAGGGACAGAACTTAATTGTCTGTGAAGACTTCATAGCTTTACCATTAGCAAAATCTTTTCTCTGTTATGAATAAAATGCTCCATAGTAACTCAGCATGAAAGACAGTTAAATACAAAGGAGCCCAGCACCAGAGGAAGTTTAAAAGGATCGAGAAAGAACTGAAGTTCAAGGTGGTCTCAAATGGAGCCTTATTGACTAAGTTACTGCTATAAGCCATTGAGCTTTCATGCAATTTCACAGAAGAAAAGAAAATCAATAACAAATTTCCTCCTTTGCTTATTTTTCTGCCCTAACTATATATTGTACTTCCTGAGAGAAAAGCACCACTAAAATAAGTAGTTGCGCCTTAATGGAAGTGGTGAATGAACTGGCGCCCTCCTCTCCAGAAATGCAGTTATAACTAAGAGCTTTTGTCTCTGGGACTCAGAGCCTTCCTTACCCCCTCAAGCTTTCAGTGAGCATAATCTGAGCTTCCCCCTTGTGACTTTCAACACATATATTAAACTTTTCACAAAGCAAATGAAGTGCTTTCCCAGATGCCTTGGAGATTATTGTTTAAATTGGTAAGTTGTATTAACATACACACACATGCATGCATGCACACTTGTAACATGGTATGAACGTTTGTGTGTGTGTGTGTGTGTGTGTGTAGTACTTCATGTAAGTATTTTCTGAGATTTTTTTTTGATTCCCAAAAGTAAAGCAATTGAAACAGAATGGAATGTGAACCCATCAAAGAATAACTATATAAAATATATCTAAGATATGTATTTCTATCTAGTAGCACAGACCAGTGTTCTCAATGTTCTTCTAAAAGACACTTTCAAAGATAAGTAGAATTCCCAAAGATTTTAGGTATTTTGTATTTATGACGTGTTTTAGGGCAGAGTCCCATTTTTCTAGAAAAATCAAACTTCTCCAAGGTGTTAGCTTGCCTAGTTTTGTATTATTACCTGCAACAAAAGGGTAGAATAGCTTTTTGGTTTGGTGTATTTCCTCTGAATTTCATGCTGTGTTTCTCTAGGGTGTCAGCCTTTATGTCTCAAGTCAGAGGAATGACATATAGGGTTGGGCTCCTTCATTTGTACAGTTGACCGATGTTTTGAGTCATCTTACTGATTACTCAATAAGTAATGAGATTTAGATTATTGATCCAAATTGGCTTTTGGTACGGCCCAAAGAACTAGTTGAGCTACCCAGCTAAAGAGTTGGTATTTACCAAAGAGGTATTTGTAAAAAAGGTATTATCAGATCCTTTACTCTGTGAGAGCCAGCTAGGGTACTTTGGTGTGAAGAGCTCTCTGTAAACAATTTGAAATGATAAAGGAGGGCATTGATGCTGACAAATATGACAACAGTTATTAGAAGTTATTTTTTATAAAATACTTTGTCATTTTGGCCCTCCCTGGTGGCGCAGTGGGTTAAAGCACAGTACTGAGACGCTTAGGCCAGTTCTGCATGAGTTCGATTCCCGCCTGCCCCGGAGGTGACCACATGGCATGGCAGACCTCTCCTGGTGGCCTGCTGCTCCCCTCAGCAGTGTGCTTCCTTCATCTGCCCGTTCTGCTCCCCGCTCTGTCTCTGGTGAATCCTTTCGCTCTCTGCATCTCTGGCCTGTACCCCAGTTCTGTATGAATAAATAAATAAATCTTTAAAAAAAAAATACTTTGTCATTTTGGGAAGTGTCTCAGGCATTGGTTTCTTGATTCTTAGACCAACTGTTAGTGTCCTCTAACAAAAGTAAGGTAGGTTTGAATGAAAGGGAAAGCTTTATGGGATGAGCACCTCAAGCATGAACATTCCTGATAGAGTTTTGAAATTCCAGACAGAGAGAGGAGCATGCAATAAATAAATAAAATCCTTAATTTATGATATAAGGGGAACTACAGGCAGTTTGATATTTCTGGAGTTGAGGAGTGATAGGGTAAGAATGCAGAAGAATAGGAGTGTAGAGATGGGATTCAGGCCTGAAAACTTTGTTCTGTGAAGGACCAGATTGTGCATATTTTAGCCTTTGCTCTGTTGCAACTGCTCAACTCTGCCACTGTAGCTGGTAAACAATCATACACTATATATAAACAAAGGATCATAGCTGTGTTCCAATAAAACTATTTATAAAACCAGGCAACTGGTTATATTTGGCCCAAGAGCCACAGTTTGTCAACTCCTCGATTAGTTAATTTCACACAAAAGGAAATAGAAATGATTCAGGAAAATGTTCACATTCATTAAATTTTTTTAATTTAAAATTAAAGCACCTACAAGATACTTCTTATTCATTGAATTAGAAAAAGAGAAAATTACAAAATACGGTATTGGAAAAGATGAAAATTATTCCACTTCAGGCAAATTCATCCATTTCCAGGGGAAGTAAAACAATCTTCTGGGGAGCAATTTGGTAAAGGATGACAAATGTAATAAAGTAAATTCAAACTTTTGACAAGGAAGGGAGACTTTGTTTGGGATAGCTTAAGACGTTATAAAAGAAACATTTCTTTTAATGTAAAAAAAGTTTGTGATAAAGCTATAAAACATCAGCTTAGGCTATGACATTTGGAAAGCTAAGAATAAAGACTATCGAAATATGAATGGTGGCTCTATGTAAATTAATTGGGAGGGAAGCAGAATTGGAATATATATATGTATTAGTAGCAGCTATGTAAAATTAATTCTGTATAAATAATGATATAGAAAGAGCTTGTAAATACTTAGTTTCGGTTTTTGTGTGTGTGACTGTCTCCTTTTTTAAAATCCAGTTAATGCAAACAATGTGATGTTTTACTTTCACTGGGCAGCTGATTGCACAAATACTCTTTTTATATGTTCAGAAGGAAACAAAGTTTCCTCAGCAGGAGTTTTACCCAAGTGCTGCACCCCAATGGGTATCCCAATGGAAAGTGACACAGACTTCCCAGCGTTTGCCAACACCCACAGAGAGGTAGGACGCTGTTCTTGCTTTTGATAATAATGGGGGCTGGTTACATGTCTTTTTTTGTTTGTTTTTTGTTTTTTGTTAACTTATTTATTTTCTAACATCTTTGTTAATTTTTGTACAGTATCTGATTTCTCCCCTCAGGTGTAGTCCCTGTTGATCTTCCACCATATCACTTCTGAACCATCACCACATTCCTTTGTGCTCTTCCCTCCCCTATTGTGACCTCTCTCCCTCTTTCTCCCCTGTTGGATGCCTCATCTATAGTCAGCTTACAGGTTTTATCATTTTCCTGGCCCTTTGTTTGATTTCTTTATATTCTACTTACAAGTGAACCCACCCATTTCTTTTTCCTTTTGACTTCTTTCTCTTTCTTCTTTATTTCCTCCTCTGCTCCTGTCTCAGCTTGGACTTTAATCTCCCCACCGCCCATTTAAATTCAGATTTATCTTTTTCAGTTTATTTGGTAGTCTTGCCCACTTCATTCCCTGTAATTGCTTAAAGAAGAAAATCTTGGTATCAGCAACACTTTCACATTAGAGGTCCCTGCTTTTAGAAGGCTGCCCAGGCTTTTGGGGGGGGGGCTGGGTTCTGACAAAGGAGCAGCTCCTATTTTATGGTCATACTGCAGTGAGCACCTTATGGCATCATCTAATTGACCCTTAACAATCTCAGTTCAAGGCAGGTGTTGTACCCTATCTTATAAATATGGAAACTACACTACAGAGAATTTAAATAATACTCAGGTAGTGGGAGAACAGCCTGCATTGTTAGGTCTGACTGCAGCAGTCTCCAAGGAGGGACCACATTGTCAGGTGCATGAGAAAGAGAGACTCCCAGGCTCCAGGGATGGGGTGAAATAGTCATAGCCATCATGAACCAATGTGGGCAAGCACACACGAATCCACAGGCACATGCATTATGAACTTTAAAGTCAATTGAATCACCAGAACTCTCTTGATAAACAACTCTGTCCCAAAGTGAAGAAGAGAGAAACATGTGTTTATGAAGTAGTTTTTAAATTATAGAACCACGTTCATAACAGCTTCGTTCATAAGAGCTAACACATGGAAGCAATACAGTGTCTATCAACAGATGACTGGATAAGCAAAAGGTGGTATAGACACACAATGGAATATCATGCAGCCTTAAAAAGGAAGGTGGTTCTGCGATCTACCACAAAATGGATGAATCTTGAGGGCATTATGCAAAGTCTCAGAAAGATAATGCTTACCTCAAATTCTTAGATTTGAATTGTTATTCTTATTACAGAAATGTTAAGTTCTTCATCACAGTGATAGACAGGAAGAGGAAGTTGTTGGGGGCTGTTTAATGGGTAGTTTAGCTAATAAATTAAAGAGTTATACTGGGGTGGATGAAGTGGTGGCTGGCAAACAATGGGAGTATATTTAACTTCATTGAAATCAACATTTAAAAATTTGCTAAGATGACTAATTTGCCAGTTTAGCAAATTTTATGCTGTGTGCATTTTAGCATAATTTGAAAGAGAAAAAAATACCCCAAAAGTAGTTACTGTTCTGGAGTTGAGTCTCTAAAGAGAGTCATAGGCTCTCTCATTGCTTGTAAAAACTTTCCTGTTCCTGTTAGAGAGCTTTCCTGTTTTTCCTGTTAGAGATCTCATTCACCCTCATCACCACCCTCAGAATACCATCTGTGAACCTCTTAGGAATCTGGTGATCCCAGGTTAAGAATA